CCTCCCAAGTTGCTGGGGTTGCAGGTGTGCACCACCATTCCCTGCTCCAGTGTACTTCTTAGCTTAGCTTGAAGTTTAAATTACAGCTCTGTATTTAGAGGCTCCTGCCACATCAAGTTAGTCAAGATTTAGTAGTGACTTATTTGTGTATAGGGACCTGAGAGGGGGCAATAGAAATTCCTTTACTTCAGTCTCCCCTTTATTCAATTTATACCACAGTAGGATACGTCCTAAAAACACACCAATTATATCTTTGGGATCCCTTGCATTATCTATCTTTGCATTTTCTTCTGATTGGCTTAAGTTTGAAGGAAGAGAAGGGTTGATGGCACAGGAAATGAGTATGATACAAGGTAAAAATGAGAAGGTCAAAATAAAGAAAGAACTGAAATAAGCTAGTTTGTCATTGGTCTATTGAGACAATGGCTTAAATGTAGTACAGCTTGAATTAAGTGCCTTCTCAAGGTTCTTTATGTTTGTAGCAATTGGGGCTGATAGAAAAGAGAATATTTGTAGGAGAGGAAAGAATCAGTAACCTACACATGAAAAAGAAAGAAAAATAGGAATAAGAAAATGGATAGAATAAGAAATAACTCACAAAAGGTAAAACATGGAGGAGTAATAAGTTTATAAAATATAAAAATAATATAATTAAAAGTAATTTTTAAATTATCAAAATTTCTCAAGTGATTACTTTGCAAACATTGAACATTTTATTATGTGTACATAACACAATAGCAAGCAAGCATACACAGTAAAATATAGGAAAATATTTGTATTCAATTCTATATCAAAGTGAAAATTCAATAAAAAGTTCAATTTTTAAGATTTACCACTCTCAATTTATAATATCAATACCTCTTGATTCTACATTATTTAATTCATGGATAAAATGGTCTAAAGTTTTTATCTACGACTGAAGTCTTCCTTTTGTTCACAGAGTATTTTTCTTAATCTGTGAAATATATTTCGAAAAGACAATTGTAAGAATAGCCTAAAGAAGATAAATCTATAGAAGTAGGTATCATTGTTGATAAAACCATATATAAATTACTTTTCTTATTTTCCTGTCATGTCTTTTTTCCATCAATCAGGTGTTTTTATTGCTGCAAACTGACCTAAGCTAATATGATTAGGCAGAGTCTTAGTGAGTAAGGATTGTTATTAGTTACAATGAAGGAAAGTTTGAGGTCCAATTCCAATTACACATACAACTATTTATCAAATAAACAAGAAAGCACAAAATGGTTCATACTCGTTAAAAGCTCTGTTATTTATGTGCTCTGAAAAAACTGCATGAAAAATTCACTCAGTATATCCATGGACAAATTTTGAGGACAGAATTTTTTACCCTCCTATTTGTCATCAGACACAATAATGTTACAAACCAGTGAATGAGCATACAGGACAAATCTTAGATTCTTAAGTGCATAGCTTGCAAAGCTTGCTGGATTCTAGTGTGTTCATGGAAAGTGGGGCAGTGCCTTTAGTATTTTGCCCATCTAGAGATCTAGAATATCACTAAATTTTTCAATACAAAATACATTTTAAACATTTGTTAAACACTTATTAGGCTAATTATCAAATTTATCTTGTGTTGATCATCAGAGACAGGCATAGCTAAAACACTTTATGATTATGTTGGCTATACAGAAACATACATAACAAAATCATTACGTTCCTCCTACTCTCCCATTTCTCCCTCAGATATCTGCTTTTGTATTCTCCTTATACAACACACACCACACACACACACACACACATACACACACACACTCAATCTCTCTACATATAGTTACATAAATATACTTTAAAAACTTCCCTACAATACAAACTATTTTCTGAGTTGCTTTTGCCTATGGAAAAAAAAATCTGGCTAGTCAAGATAGTTATCCGTCCCACCCCCACCTCTCTAAACTCATTTTTTGATATTCATTCTAAACATTCAAGGTTTAAGCCTCTCTGAACTTCTTATAGTTCCCTGATTATGCCATACCGTTTCTAGACTGTTCCTTTGAGTATTCTATTTTTGCCTGGAAACATTTTTGTGTTTTATGTGGCTAAACAATTTAAAATGGTTTCAGATGTTATGACCTATAGTTGTGTGTTTCTGCATTTTCTAGGTAGCATCATTTTTTCCTCTATATTTTGTGTAAAACTTGATTATGGCAATAATCATTGTAATTGCTTGCAAATACTACTTATATTCTGTAAATTTATATATATTGCATTTTATCTTCTTTCCAGTTATCTTGCAGCTTATGTACTTGTGTCTTTTCCCAAATAGAGTACAGCTAACTTACTTAGGTTCCTAGTATATGATAGTATGCCTGGGTATATAAATGCTCAGAAAATCCCATGGATGGAGGAATGAAAGTAAAAATGTTGCTCTTTAGAACTTGGTTATTAAAGATAGTACATAGATTGTAATTATTTTCTGTGAACATAGAAGAATACAGTGTAAATAGAATACAAAAGCCATGAGGAGGTTACACTTTTTTTCTACATAGTATGTTATAGAGAATTTTATAGTCCTTTCAGAGGATTAGGGAAACCTGAAGAAAATGCAACTGAAATCATCTTAATCTAAGGTATTTTAGTTTACATTATTGGTTGATAGCTTTAGCCTTTATAGCATTATTTTAGGGCAGTATTACAAAATGAAATAATACTCATCATAATATTCAATATAAAATAAGAATAATAACATTCAGCATAAAAGATAGAATTAAAATAACATGAGAAAGGACTGCTCTGCTCTGGGAATATAAATTGTTCTTAGTTGTCTCTAATATTTTTTGTTTTGTTGACCTTCTAAATGAATATTTTAAATGATGTATCACTTTGCACATTTTAAATTTGTTATCTAAAATGCTTTTAACCATACTTTAAAGTAGCTGCTGAGACTATAGTAAATATATTACATATTGTTATATGCTTTAAGTGAATTGTGTCAAATCTTTGGATCTGCATATTTAGCTCACCCGATCATGAAAAATGTTCACTATATACTCTGATTGTCTGACTCAGTTCTCAGTGCCAAACTACTTGCTTTGTCAGACTTATTGTCTGTCAATAACAAATCTGACTTCATTTTTTAGATTAAATGCACATGTGAATATACTCCATGATAACCATTCCATTTCTGAATTATAATTGTAATATAGATGTATAGATTAATTTATAAATAGGGGGACTGGCAGAAAGGCAGAGACTTGCCAGGATGAAATAACCATCTTTCCCTTCAATTTTTCCTTGCCTTACTCCTAAGCTATTATTTCCCAGGGTCAGTGCTTCCTTGAGTTATCCCTTTGCTTTATATTCTGGAGACTTCTAACTTGGGATAATGTACCATAACAAGATTTAGGATGCATGAGATGTCTACTTTTTCTTTTTCTTTTTAAAAGTAGAAACAGTGTAATTATGAAAGGAGAAAGACAACTTGAAAACTGGTGGATTGCAAGTGCATTCTCAGATCAATTTTAGAAAAGGCACATGTGGAATTTGAAGATTTGGAAATAGATTCTACTTAAACATTTATATCTGCATTACACATGAAAAGTGTTTGTTCACATTTTGTTTTGAAGATTTCTGGAATGAGTTGTGCCTATACAATGTGTCTATATAATGCAACAGGCATAACACACTATAATCACAAGATAAATTGTGACACCCAGAAGATACTCTTGAGAGTATACTGATGCCCTCTTTCTATCTTACATTCATGATTGTTCCTAACTCTGTGATCCTATGGCTTACCAATTGTAAGAGAAGTCAAGGGATAAATATGTGAATGTTCAAAAGAAAGGTTCTTCAAGAGGAAAAGAAAAACTCTTTCTTCAAATGTAAAATGAACAGGATGAAGAGTTTGAAATTCTAAATATAGGCAGAGGGGATTTCCAGGGATTTCAGTGGGTTCAGTAATACTGCTGATATGTCTGGATGTTATATTTGTTTCTCCAAAGTACTTTTTGGCCTGTTGATTGATGAATAAGAGTATAATTCACTACTAGTTCTTGCCCAATTAATATTGATTAGCCATTCTTTATATACAATAAAAGAGAACTTTTACAATTTGGATTTCCCTCTAGTTTCTGAAAATTTTTTACCTGGAAAAATTTTCTCCTCTAGCATAAAACATAGGAAATAAAAGTTATCAGTCTTTTAAATTAGGAACTCTAAATACTTTTGGATTTAAAGATTAATTTATTAGGATATGATTATGAAAACACTTAAAATGTACAACAACATTGATTTAGCATTCTAAATGTAATATATTTTAAAATATGCAATATTACTTTATGGACTCATTTTTTTTTTTTAGTATTGAGTTATAATGCAGCATTAGAGTAAGTCTGACCGCATTAGGAAGGCTTTCTATTGAGCATTTCATTAATCTGTTTGTAAAATCACTTTAAAATATTTGTATTTTAAGCATGCTTAATTGCTGGTATACAACTAGGGGAAATATGTAGTATCAATTTAATTTCCTTTGCTGTATTACATTGTCTTTTTTAAAAAACAAGAATCTGTGTTTGAGTTGAAGGAACTCCAAAGAGTGCTTGCTTATGGCTCAGTAACATCAAATACAGTCTCTGGATATAATAAGAAAAAATTCAGCAGTTTCAAAAGAGCTTGGGAATAAAAAGCCACCCATTTACTTTTTTTTGTAGAAGCAGTAGCAGTCTACAGAAAAGCCAGAATAGCTTCAAAACAGTATGGTAGATAATTTTATGGAACTTTCAATTACAAAAATCCAGTTTAACCTTCTTTCCTACTGGCAGGTGTCCTATTGGCTTGCAGCCAGAGGCTGGGAGTGCTGTGCAGCCTGCTGTGTCCCCCAGAGTGCTGACAATGCTAACACTCCAGCTGGCTGCTCATAATTGCATTGATTGTGGTCTGACAACCAGAGCGCCAAGAAAGAAATGTGATGAATACACAAAAATATTTTACAAATTCGATCAGATTACAAATTTCACCTCTTTTTTTCTCCTCCATAGATATGATATCTGCACTTATAAAAATAAGCCCTGTGGAACACTGGGTAAGTGTTTATATATATATATATATATAAAAAGACAGAATAGTTCAGATTATCTTTCTGGACCAATGAATACTCTTTATTATTAACTTGGTCATTTTCTTTCCTGGTACATCTGAAATTATTCCTAAAAATTGTTAAACTTGACCTTTGTGGCCAAGGACCTTTTCATTGAGTAGGAAACAAATATTTACTCTCATAATAAAGATTATATAAATTTCATTAGCTTTTCCCCCCTCTGATAAATGGAATGATGATTTAAAAACAATTTACAAGATGATTCAAAATCATTAACTAATAATTACAAATCAAAGTTAGCACTCATTTTCATATAATCTGTCTCTGTAATGTATTTTCTTAAAATGCCAAGAGGTTTGAGAGCATTGAGCATCTTGAAATTCAAGTCTATTAAAGGAAAGGGATAAAAATCTGAGATACTTAAAGGGAAGGGCTCAAGAATAATACTTCTTTTGGTACCATTTTATGGAAAGAGTATATTCCCATAAATTAAAATATTATTGGAAAATTTTAGTACCCTGACAAAAAAATAAAAAGACAATTTTGTAAAACAGTATAGCCAGAGGCAAAGAGAGAATATAGGATTATCTTTTTGTGTTCCTTAAATATCATTTGCTATTTAAAAGGCATTTTTTAATACTCTAGATTTTCTTCTTTTTTAAAGTATTTTTTAGTACGCTAGAATTTTTTAAATTTTTTTTAGTTATAGATGGACACAATATTTATTTATTTATTTTTATGTGGTGGTGAGGATTGAACCCGGTGCTTCACACCACTGAGCTACTGCCCCAACCCCAGTATTCTAGATTTTTTAAAATAACATTTTATTGCAGAACATAATTTCATATAGGTTAATTGCAAAAAAAAAATGGTGGGAGAGTAGCTTCACATTGTATTAAATAACTAAGCAACTAACGTTATTTTATGGAGTAGGAGCTTTTATTGTACGATGACTTTTTTAATGTCAGAGACTTTTTATAGACTCATTCATAAGTTAAGCAGCTAAAGGTTAATACTCTGGTTTCTGTATGACAAGCCTCAGTTTTCTTATCTGTAAAGGAATAATTTATGAAATTGATTGTTTTGCACAACCTAGTTATTTTGGGAAGATATAATTAAAGTCAATGTAGGAGAAAGAGTGCTATCCAACTTCCTGGGCAGTTCATTAAAACATCTTCTCAAAGGTTGGAATTTCTCTTGATGATTTTACCTACCTTTCCAGGCATCTCCTACCCTACTTCTTCAAGATTTATGGCTAAAGAAGAAATCCCAATTAGCCAGTGCTAATGATTTAAATGATTAAAAGCTTGCTAGTCAAAATGCATATCACAAGAAGAGATCTTTTTGCTGAGAAAGTTCACATCAGAAATATTTTTTTTGTAGTGTTTTAGGTTAACAAGACCATTGAAGGGAACCCTGAACTGGAAACTAACTGGCTTTTACATTTTTAATGCGTTACCTTTTACAGTTTATTTAAGCTCTATGGTTCTCAATTTTGTTAGCAATTTCTTAACAGATTTTAACAATATTCTTAACCTTTTATTATAAGAATATTGTTAAAATCACTTTGGGAAGAAAACATGAAGGTATTTAGTAAAGAAGTACTATAAAAGTGAACAGGTCTTATTTAATGTAGAAATTGTCTATATGGTTTCACTTAACTACCTGCCTGTGTGTGTGTGTGTGTGTGCACACGCGCACACTTATGTATATATGTGATATTTTTTAGTAACTTTCATGTTGGTTTTTATACTGATTTTGCATACATATTACATATATTTAGTATATGAATGAAATGTGTGTATATGTGTTCATACATCTCTATATAATACACACACACACACACACATTTTATTCTGCCTGCTTTTTAAAGGTATTTACATTGAGATACATTCTTCATGTGACAATAGTAATACTACTATGTAGTATTTTTATTGTCATTATTGCCCAAAACTTGAGGCATTTTTCTATTCTCTTTTTAGAGTTTTTAATAATGTGTTCAAAATGCAATAGACTATTTTTCTTTAGAATCAATATATTAATCAGTATATGACAATGATTTTCAAACTCAATATAAATTATTTTCAAATTATAGACCA